CCCCAAAACCCCAAAACCCCAAAACCCCAAAACCCCGCCTAGACCATGAAAAATTGAAATAAAGTGACTTCAAGAATAGGAGAGACCAGGCGCAGTGAGAAAAGGATAGAAAGGGACTGAGAATATGATAATTTGGAAGAGAATTGGGTCGAAAGAAGGGATAAAAGTCCACCCAGAGTTTTTGGGGTAAAATTAAAGCTAGAAAGGGATTTGAGTGAGCTATAATATTGGATTTGGCTCTCTGAGCAAGTTTATTTGGGATTCTAAAGATTTAAGTTTAGTTGGAGAACGAAAAATTTTGATCAGAAGGAGAGTTTTTCTAAAAATTATGATTCTCTAATTCATTTTATTATTTGATTTTATGAGTCTTATTCAAGAAGAAATAACACTACCTAAACATCAAGCCAAAGTTTAATTTGCTTTAAAATAGAATTGATTCGTAATTTTTATTTACTACTTTCATGAATAATTTTTGGGAATTATTTATTATCTCTTAAAATTTTGTTCCACTTATTTTTAACAAAGGAGATAACTTTGGCACAAAATGTAACTTACAATTTTCTAAATATTATTTGCCTCCAGAGTTTCTTATTTCCACTTATTATTAAGAATTTCATCCATTCTCCTCCAAATTTGCCTCTCTAAAAACCTACTACCATCTACATACGTTTCCAAACTCTCAAAACCCCTCCAAACCTTCTAAAACCAACCCTAAACCTTCTAAAAACAAATATTAGCATTTTCAATCATTATCCTTCTTTGTCTTCTTCTCTTCCATATTGCTCGTATAATGGCCTGCATATAGTTCTATAACACCTGTTAAATCCACAACAGATTTAATAAAAGCTCATTAAGGCTTTATATTAAAAGAATGTAACAATTGGAGAAATATATTTACTCTTGTAATTCTTCTTTGGTGTGGGCTTAGACATCTCTTCAGTTTTATTGATATACACCATCTTTATCAAGATTTGGAATGCTGCGTCTATATTCATAGTGAGACATCTTATTGAGTCAGGTTTATATCTTAGAAATATGTATATAACATGAGAAAATGGCGTTTGAATATCAAAGGCTGCGATTCTAACAGTTCAAAGAAAAATTCTGAGGTTTTGGCATTTCCAAGGATCTTTAGGCCATTCCAGCTAAAAATATTTCCAAACTTGGTTGATTGCTTACCAATTGTGCTAGAGTCCTTTATAGTAGTCTCAGCAAAGAAGGCTCCGAAGCTATCTGCAAAGTCTTTTCCTTCTTTGTACTGGACTTGCCTCATATCCTCAAGATCTGACTTATTGCCCAATATAATACAATATTTAGGAGAGAGTAATTGGAGGCTTGTCATCTCTTAATCAACCAATCTCGCTGATCCAGTAGGTCATTGAATCAAAACTTTCCTTGTCAGTAATATCATAGACCACTACGATCCCATCTCCCTTCCTTATGTACCCTTTAGGGATTGATCTGAATCTCTCTTGTCCTGAGGTATCATAAATTACAGCTTTGAGCTTATTTATCATCAATATCAACTACTTTCGTCCAGAGGTCAATTCCAATAGTTGTGTTGACCTTATCAGCAGCACCTTCGCCAGACTTGAACGTTACAGAGATACATGATTTGCCGACGCCTGCATCTCCAAGCATGATGATTGATACCTTTTCTTCGTAGGATTCTCCGTCGAGTTCCATATTTTCAATATATTTATAAAGTTTGGGGTTTTGGGGTTTTGGGGTTTTGGGGTTTTGGGGTTTTGGGG